CGGGGGCCTGCGGGCGCTGAGGTCGCGTCCCCTCCGCACGAGATCTACGCACACGGCCTGGTGGCGGTGGACCTCAGCTTCCAGGGCCTAGCGGCGGGCAGAGCAGGGGGCTCAGTGAAGGAAGAACAGGGGAGGGCCCGGGGGCCGAGAGGGAAGGGTGCAGCGCTAGCGACTGGCGGGCGTGCACGGGGAGCTGCCACCTTGTGTTTCTGCAGGGTGCCTGCGATCTGGCTGAGATCCCGGCCCAGGACCGCATTCCCCACCCGCTGTCCGCACTCCTTCAGCCAGGCTTCCTCCTCTTCACAGTTGCACAGGAACTCTGCCCGCTGTAGGGTCTGCTCCAGCAGGGCCCGCCTGAGGAAGAGTAGGGACCACTGAAGGACATGGGGAGTAGTGGGGCATGGGCAGTGGGTTCCCCTCAGGCGTTAGACACTCCCCTTAGGGTTTTTCTTTTCCCTGGATGACTCAACAGGTGAGACAGAGGCTTTGGAAGTGACGGTCAGTATGGAGAAAACTGCCAGGCCAACAGTACTTTAACCTGGGCAGGAGATAATTTGGGTTACAGAAAAGTTCTGGGAAAGGTGGAAGAGTTGGGGCAGTCTCTTACCGGGCCCTGACAAGAGCCACCAGGCTCTGGTGGAGCTGGACCAGTGTCTTGGCCTTGGCCTGCAGCACCTCCACACTGGTGCCCAGGGAGGAGTCCAGCTCTGCTGTCTGCTGGGCAAGATGGCTCACATGGGCTCCGTGGGCCGAGACTTGGGCCTCCAGCAGGTCATGCCTCTGCAACAGCTCCACCACTTCTGCCAGCTGCTGCCCACAGGCGGTGGACCTGGCCGGCCCCTGGCCAGAGATAAGTGGTCATTGCAGTGGCCCCAAAGTGCTGGGTTCCTCTGAGCACTGGCACTGGGGAAGTCCCCCCTCCTGCTGTGTTTCCCAAGGGCCTGCTGGTCCAGTGCCCACCTGCAGCTCCTCTAGCTGGTGGGAGGCAGCCTCCACCTCCTGCAGCAGGCTCAGCACAACCTGCATGTCTGCCACCTGCTTCCTCTGTCCCTGCAGACGCTGAAGGAGCCTCTGCCAGCGCAGGGTAACTTCCTCCTGCCTGGAGGACGTGAGAATAAGGGAGATCTCCTCTGGGTTGGGGCAGGGAAGCTACTTCAGGGTTCCCCGGTCCGTGATGGGGCTTGGGTGCCCTGGAGGAGTCTGACCTCTGTGGCTGGGGCAAGGCCTATGGACTCTGAGAGCATCCTGGCAGGGAGTGGGAGGGGCAGTGTGTCCTATCTTTGGACACATGCAGAGAAGCCAGAAGGAGGGCCTGGAAGGATCAGGCTGTCAGGGCCCCCTACCTTGCATGCAGTCCCCATCTCAGTTGATGAAAACTCCATCCTTCCAGGTGCCCAGACTAAAATCTTTTTTTTTTTTTTTGAGACAGAATCTGCTCTGTCACCCAGGCTGGAATGCAGTGGTGCAATCTTGGCTCACTGCAACCTCCACCTCCCAGGTTCAAGTGACTTTCCTGCCTCAGCCACCTGAGTAGCTGGGATTACAGGCATGGGCCACCATGCCTGGCTAATTTTTGTCTTTTCAGTAGAGATGGGTTTCACCATGTTGGCCAGGCTGCTCTCGAACTCCTGACCTCAGGTGATTCACTTGCCTTGGCCTCCCAAAGTGCTGAGATTGCAGGCGTGAGTCGCCCGGCCTGGCCTAACATCTTGATAACTCATTTTCTCACAGGCCACGTCTGATCTGTCTGCAAATTCTACTTGGCACTGTCTGCAAAATCTATCCAGAACCTCACCCCTTATCACCACTGCTGCTCCGTCCTGGATTACTGCAATAGCTTTGTAACTGGTGTCTCTGCTTCTGCCTCTGCCCCTTGGATCTATTCCCAACATGACATCCAGGTGAGCATCACAAAACAAATTTCAGATCGTGCCACTCCTCTGCTCAAGTCCTCCACTAATTTCCCATCTCTGAGTGAAAACCAAATCGTTACTGTACCTGCAAGGCCGGGCTTGATCTCCATCCCCACCCCTCACCCCTGTGCCCGCCTGACCTCAGCTCCTGCCACTTGTTCACTTTGGCCAACACTGGCCTTCAGGCTACTTTTCAAACCTGCTAGGCATGCGCTCGCCTGAAAGGACACTGCATTTGCTGTGTCCTCTGCCTAGAATACTCTGTCTCCCATGTCTGCATGGCCAGCTGCCCACTTCTTTCTGGTCTTTACTTGGAAGTCAACTTCCCAGTGAATCCCCTCTAGCGACTCAACCTTAGCACCTCATATTCCCCTATCCTCTTTATTGTTATTATTATAATTATTATTATTATTTTTTGGAGATGGAGTCTCGCTCTGTTGCCCAGGCTGGAGTGCAATGGTACCATCTCTGTTCATTGCAACCTCTGCCTCCCAGGTTCAAGCGATTCTCCTGCCTCAGCCTCCCGAGTAGGTGGGATTACAGGCACTCGCCACCATGCCTGGCTAATTTTTGTATTTTTTAGTAGAAATGGGGTTTCGCTATGTTGGCCAGGCTGTCTTGAGCTCTTGACCTCAGGTCATCCTCCTACTTCAGCCTCCCAAAGTGCTGGGATTACAGGCGTGAGCCACCGTACCCAGCCTCTCCTTTATTATTATTATTTCTTTATTACCACATGCTATGAATTGTTCTTATTTGTCTGTTTTCCTTAGTAGTGTGTAAGCTCATGAGGGAGGGAATTTTTGTTTGTCCTCTTCTCTACTAAATCTCCAGCAGCTAGCACAGTGTGTGGGATGTAGTAGACACTCAATCAATTCTTGTTTAGTGGATGAATCAGAGGCTACCTAGAAAGTGCTTTACCAATAGGGATGAATTACTGATGGTGGACTTGCAAGCATCACTGGGAGATAGATCTTTGTAGAGGGAGCCCTGAACCCATAAATCACCCCTCTCCTCTCTGGCACAGAATGGGCACATGACATGGAAGGATGGGGGTGTGGTAGGAGAGCCTCAGCCAGTTGTGAGGAGAGTTCATGTGCTGGGGCTCACCTGCGGGCCACATCTGCCCAGCTGTGGTACTGCTCCTGCTGGAGGATGTCTGCAATCTCAGCCAGGGCCTGGAAGCGCCCCTCCTGGGGCAGGATGCCAGCTTCCAGCATGCCCAGCCTCTGGATGGCTGCCTCCACCGTGGCCAGGCTGGCTGGCAGGGCTCTGGCCTGGTCCAGCACCTGCTCTGCATCCTTAAGGAAACTCTCCCGGAGAGCTGCCTTGCGCTGGAAGCGCCGGGCCAGGGTTTCTAGCCGCTCCAGCTGCAGTAGCCTCTGCTGCAGGGCCTGGCTCCTTGCGGCCTCTGCCCATTCCAGCCCTGCCCAGCACTGGGACAGCTCTGCAAGGCCCAGGCCCTCAGGAGGCAGGAAGAGCCTGCGGTTCTGGGCTTGGAGTGCTGTCTGTAGCCGGAAGAGCAGGGCCTCTGCAGCCCCTCGCTGCTGCAGCCGGGGTGGCTTCTCCTGGGTGCGGAAGATGGTGAACGCTGCCAGTAGCTGCCGCATGGCGGGCAGCGAATCTGGGAAATCCCGCGCCTCCAGCTGCGCCTGCTTCTCTGCAATCCAGCATAGCAGGTCGGCCACCAGCTGCTCGTACTGGGTCTGTAGCGCCTCTGTCTCCTGGAGCTGAAGCAGGATCTGGTGGAGGGCGTAGGAAAGGGTCAGGGTCCTTCTCGGGACAGGACCTGGAATGGACACTGAGTGCCAGCCAGAGTTCCCCAGGTGGGCTGTAAGCTACTTCTCTGAGCCGAAGATCCTTTGAAGTGGTGGTACCCCCACCCCGGAGAACTGGGTTTGCTTGCATTGCACACTCAGACCCAGGAGCTTGGGGCCCTCTCCATGACTGAGGGTGAGGCTATCCTGCCTTCCTCCTCTTGTTTTACCCATTTGGCCTCACTGGTGGGGGCTGAGGCCCTTCAGGCTGCTGTTCTTTTTCTAGGCCGCCTTTCCCTTCCCTGCACCCCCTACCCTGCAAAGCAGCTGACAGCCCTTGGCCTGTGTCCCCCCCACCCACACCCCAACTGAGATACCCACCCTGAGAAGAGCACTTCCAGGCCTCAGCCTCTGCCATCGTGTCCAGAGAGTAAGAAAGCCCCCCAGAAACATGAACTCTGTGTGGCCCCAGCCGGCAGAGCCTCTTCTGTGCCTGTCCTTGCAGAATCCTGGCTCTCTAAGCCTTTTAATCCCATTAGAAGCTTAATAGCCTGAGAGTCGGGGAGAAGGGAGAGGCCCAGGAGGGGCCATTCCTCCCCTGGCTTCCCTTGTATGCCAGGCACCATGCTGGGCCCATGACCTGTGCTCCCTGGAACACTCACAAGGGCCTTCTGTCATCCAGGCAGCATCATCTCCATGTGATAGAGGGTGCACAGTGAAGTTGGGTGACTTGGCCAAGGCCACGAAGCTAGTACGTGGCAGGGCAGGCTTCATGCTTAGGCCTGTCTGCCTCTGGAGCCCTTGCTCACCCCACCCCTCCTTTCTCCCCCACCTTAGTGAGTCTCCTCTGGACAGTCTGCCCCTGATGCAGGCGGGAGCAGTAGTGGTAGTAGAGGGAGACGTAGGTCATGATGGAGCGCTCATCTGGCTGTGTGGCTGCGACGTCCTCGGGGTCCAGCAGCTGAGCGATGCCCAGCTCCTGCTCAGCCACCAGGAAAGCAAAGGCAAGGTTGTGCAGTGGGCGGTCTGGACGCAGGGAGCTATAGTCCAACAGGTCTGGCCTGGAAAGAGAGCGAGAAGGGCTCTTCACCAGCAGGAACCTATTGCTTTCCTTTCAGTAGATTCTTAAATGCACTCATGCTTCTATTGGCCATTCACATCTTCTTGTGAATTCATTTTCCCAATAGTTATCTGAGGCCCTGCTGAAGGAGTAGGACTCTGATAGAGAAAGAGGAGGGTTCATTTGGCACAGGGACCAGGCTGGGGGGCTGGGGGAACCTCCAAAGGGCAAGTGCTGCCAGGGTGAAGAACATGAATAGAATTGAGGGGCACAGGAAGTGCAGAAGACTGGGGTCAAAGGTAAACTTGGCTAATCTCGTAGCATTGTCTAGGGAAGGGAAAGGGGCTAACCCAGAGCAGGGACTCAGACATCAGCCCCTTCTACATCTGTGTCCACTTTCCCTCCTTCAAGCCTAGAGATGTGGGACAATGGGCAGGCTGAGGACCCAAACCCAGGCGTCGTTGGCCAGTGGGCGGAGGCCTCCTGACGAGGGTGGGGTCACACCTGTGGGCATGGATGAGGGCATTGAAGCCCAGCCCATCGCTCCAGCTTCGGGAGAAATCGGTAATGTTCACGTTGGTGTAGCTGGCTGTCTTCCGCTGGCACCAGACCAGTAGGGCTTCCTTGGTGGACAACAGGGCTGCACTGGCCCCGAACTCCTCCTGGCAGGACAGGGCAGCGGGGTCACCATGCAAGGATGGGGTGGGGAGGCAGACAGCCTACAGGCTGTGGGAGAGGCAGGCTGGCCACAGCCAGATCCTGCTTCTCCCCGGCCCGGGGTCAGTGTGACTCTCCTCTCTTTAGAGTATTTGATTTTACCCAATTTCATCCACGGTGGGCAGGGGTTGGGGGTGAGAGCAACGGGCCTTCCAAAGAAGTGGAGCAAGGGAAAGCCGTCCCTGCAGAGGCGCTGGCTTTGCATGACCACAGGTGACCACACAGCAACAGCTCCCATTTTTTGAGCCCTCTGATGGGCCAGGTGCTGTGCTAACTGACCTCGGGCTCACGGGATTGTGGCTGGGTTTCATGAGACTGGGTCGCGTCACTGCAGGCTTTCTGTGAGCCAGGCCCGATGTTATGGGCTGGAGTGCAGTGGTGCGATCTCGGCTCATTGCAACCTCCGCCTCCCAGGTTCAAGCAATTCTCCTGCCTCAGCCTCCCTAGTAACTAGGGTGACAGGGACACACCACTATGCCTGGCTTTTTGTATTTTAGTAGACGAGGTTTCAGTATGTTGGCTAGGCTGGTCTCAAACTCCTGACCTCAAGTGATCCGCCTGCCTTAGCCTCCCAAAGTGCTAGGATTACAGGTGTTAGCCACCACGCCCAGCCTTACTTCCTGTTTATAAACTCAAAATATCAAGGTTCAGCAGGTTGCACTTCCCCTGCCCTCTGGGCCCCAGAGCTTGGGTAGGAAGGATGTGCATGGTGCCCACATGCCGGGGAGTGGAGTCTCAAGGCCCTGGGTCCTAGTGAGGTCAGGCCCCAGTACCCTGCATGGTGGGGCCAGGCTGGCAGATGGAACTAGGGAAAATGCTGGGATGGCTTGTGAGGGAGCAGGGCTAGCCTGAGCCCAAACACATCTGAGTCAGCAGCAAGCAGGGCCAGAGACGGTGCTGCTCCCAGGGGCCTAGGCTGCAGGGGGCACCTGAAACTGGCCAGGGGCCTGGGGAGGTGAGTATGGCTTCCTGAAAGGGCTTGAGGTCAGTTAGAAATCCATCCGCCCCTCCAGCCTTCAAATAGATGCTCAGCCCTGCAGACGCACAGTTCTCCTGCCCTCCTGGGGCTCAGGCCCTGAGTTTCCAGGCCGTCCTGGACTTGTGCCAGATGTGTGGCTTCTTTTCACGAGGGTTTCATTCTCCAGGTTGACTTTCCTTACCTACTAGAATTGAGTTTTAGGTGGCATTCTGGAAATCATGAAACTATGAAAAAGGATAAGTATAAGGACTCTTTTTTTTTTTTTTGAGACAGGGTCTCACTCTGTGACCCAGGCTGGAGTGCAGTGGTACGATCACGGCTCACCACACCCTCGACATCCTGAGCTCAGTTTATCTTCCCACCTGAGCCTCCCGAGAGCTGGGACTACAGGCCTGTGCCACGAAGAGTTTACAGTCTTTCTGATCCAGTGCGGGGGAAAGAGGTAGAATGGAGGAAGCGGGGGGCCACGAAAGAAACGCCGTCTTTGGTCTGCAGGGTGCCGGGGACTTTGTAAACCTCCAGAGCTGGGACTCCCTCCACACATTGCATTTCTCCCAACAGTACATTGTGGTATAAAGGAAGTTACAGAGCCTCAGTGCCACGTGGGGAGCAACACACAGGGGTGAAAGTGGGTGCTGGCAGTGACCGTGAACCCTCCCTAGTGAATGACTTGCCCAGACCTGGTTTGAAGCCCATGGCCCTGGCCCTCACTTTAGCATATTACAACGTTACAGTATCTCTGGTGTCCTGGGTTCTTCACCCATGGTTGAAGAGTGAATATTGACTTTGCAGTTTCCAAGATCTCCTATGGGAATCATAAAAGTTGCATGGAACTTCTCAGTCCCCAGGAGTCTGAGGTGAGGCGAGGGCTGGGCTGAGTCACCAGGTGCTGGGTGCTGGGGACTGAGCCATACCTTGTCCAAGGAGATATGGGAGATCTGGAAACGCAGAATGATGACCCAGATGAGTCCCAGGATGAGTGTCTGGTCTCCATCCACGATGTTCTCTGGCCCGATGAGTGGTATTGGCACCTGTGGGCACAGTTGGCTGGGCTAAGCCATGAAGCCCATGTCCAGAGAGGACTCAGTCACCAAAAGCTTAGGGTGCCAGCTGCGGGATGGGAGGGTCCTGGAATCTATCCTGCCCCAGCCGGGAGGTCTCCCAGGGAGAAGCCGGCAGGGGATAAGTCCAGGAAAGCAAAGGCGTCCCGCCTGGTTGGAGCCATGGCCTCAAGCCCACCTGGGTGAAACCCCAACCTGGTGAACTGGGCTGGGCCGCTAGAGCAGCAGGACCCCCTGTGTGTGGGCTACAGGTAGACCTGGGCCAAAATCAGTGGTTCAGCTACAGGGTTTGGAAATGAGGGGTCATAACAGTCAATGTGTGAGCCCAACAGACAATAGCAACTGTCCGCCTCCATCTCCCAGGGTGTCCTGGGATATCCGGGGGTGGCTGGGTCCCTGGGCTCACACCCAGATCTCAGCCTTCTTCATCTGTTCCAGCTCCAACACGGCCAGCTATAAATCCAGATTCCCAGGCTCCACCCAGTCAGACTGCCTTGGGCCAGAGCCTGAGAATTTGCACTTGAACAACACCTTGGGTGGCTCTTAAGTACACCAACGTTGAGACTCCTCTGCCCTACATCTTGCCACGTGGACAGGGAGGATGGGTGAGTCAAGGGGAGAACCCCGCAGGGTCTGGCCCCCAGCCCCCTCTGGCTGCATCTTCCTCTCTGTGGAACCACACAGCTCCAAGCCCATCGGATTCTTGTAGTTACGTGGGATTCTAAGCACAGGACTTCAGACCTTTGCACGGCCGTGCCTGCTGTCTGAAAGTATCCTCCCAGATAACTGCATGGCGATTCACCTCCCTGCCTTTGACTCTTCACGCAGATGTTGCCTAGCCTGACCACTTTATTTAACATAGAAACCTAAGGACTATTTCTCCCACCCAAATACACACTCTCGATCCCCTTGCCCTGCTCAAGTGAGGATCTTGACTTTGTTTTCTGATGTATCCTAGTGGAGTGGCACACAGCAGGGAATCAATCAGTAAGTACCGAATGGAGAAAGAAAAGGAGTGAGACGTTCCCTAAGACCTGAAGGGCAACTGGCTTCACCCAGCCACTACTAGCCCTGTGGGAGGAGCTGCAGCCCTGGGTGTCCCCCTGGGTAAGCTTTGGTATATCCGGCTGGTCGCTAAAGGATTCCACCCATGCTCCTGGGGTGGATTCCACCTGGCGTGTCAATCACCTTGCCTTAGAGTTGGAGCCTCTGGGGAGTGGGGTGTTTGTCTGCTCCTCCCAGCTCCTGAGAGCCTATCCTCCCGACTTCCTATTGAGTGATGTCACGCTGGTGACTTAAACTCACTGTGCTGGGGTATTAACGCCACAGGATCAGCGAATACAGCACACTGGAGCTTTTATTTCCCCCAGAGAATCATTTGTTAAACATTTACCAGCATACCGCTGATCTGGGTTCAATGAACCTGTCTCCCATTGAAGCCAGATGCCTCGAGGTGGGGGTCTGGGCTTTGTTTAGTGTAGCCCAGTGCCTGCATAGAATGCCCAGGGCATGGGAGCGTCTCCATAAGTGAGTGCATCCCTCATTCTGCCACACATTCCCTGTGTGTTTGCAACTCCCTCGTCCTTTCCAGACCATAGTTGCCTCCTATGTGTATGGAGACGAGGATGTCACCCTCAGAGGTATCAGTGACATGCTGTATATAAAGCTTGGGGAGAGCTGCCATGCCTCTGACAAAGGCTATGGAACTTACACCCTTCCCAGGTTCTTGGAGGGGAGATGACTGGCTCACAGGGTCACTGTCCCTGGATCAACTAGGGCCCAGCATTCTGCAGCTGGCAGAGTTCTGCTCTCTCACCTGCTCAGGACAGCGGTCGCTCCCCTTCCCTTTGCTTGGGTTTCTCTCCTCCCTGGCTTTCCTCCCACACACCAGTACCCCAGGAGGCTGGACAGAAGCTCCACTCCAGGACATAGTGATGGAAATGCACAGTCAGGCTCCGTCCAGCCAAGCCCAGCTCAGTGACTTCACAGCCTCCAGGGACAGCACCTCCAGGAGCCCTTGGTCTTCATGTTTCCTGGTTCCCAATGATCCCTTTGCTCCACCCCACCCCTGCACAGGCCCCTCACCCTGGCCATAAGGGTCCCTCTGTCCCTCGAGCTCCGGCTTCCTTTTAGCGGCCATCTCCTTGACCTGTCCCTTTCTTTCAGGTAACTCTGGCTCCCCTCATTTGCTGAGGCCTCCTCCCTCCTTCTCCAGGACAGGCCCTGCTCCTCTTCCCCACCCACCGTCTTAGTGTCCGCGTCTCTTCCCTCTGTTTCCCACTTGATGCCAGCCCACCATGGCCCCACATCTGGGCTCTGTTGGCCGGTTAACCATCGATCTTGCCTGGTAAATAATTCAGGGCCTCTGTTTTCTCATCTGCGAAATGAAAAGCCTAAGATTCTTTCGGCCTAGAATCCTGTGAGTCTCTCTTATGACAGAGTGACATTTTCCACCCCAGTAGGGACATGGATCGCTCCTGCCGCAGCCAGCTGGGTAAGTCAGGGGTGCTGTGCGAGGAGGGCTTGGCTTCTGCTCCTCTGTGTCCCAGCTGCTCCCCCTGTACTCAGGCCCCAGCTCCTCTGCTCTGCCCTGTGACCTGGCCCAGGAAAGGTGACCCAATAGTTCAGCCTGTCCCAGCTGCCTGCCCCAGCACCATCCCAGACCCCTTTCCCTGGGGCCCACCTTGGCCCTGAGGAAGGCCAGGGCTCGGCTGCTGTTCTCCAGGAAGTGCACGCGCAGGCGGCCCCGGCTGGGGGGTGGCAGGGCCTCCCCTGAGATAAGCTCCAGCAGCCGCAGGAGGTGGATGCCATCAGCCAGCTCTGTGTACAGGTTCCGGATCTTGATGCCCACCTGGGGAGGGGACGGCGGCAGGTATGGGGTCAGCCCAGCTTCACCTGTCCTCCCATCCTGGGACCTGAGAGGTGTGACCCAGAGCAGCTGCCTTGGAAGAAGGAGCTCTGGCCTCAGCTTGGCCTCAGGCAGATGACCCCACAGCTCGCCCCCGAGGGCCACTGGCCAGAGCTGGGGGCATGGTACGGGTGGGCTGTGGGTCACAGCTGGCCATACTCACCTGGCCGCACTGGAAGACGTTGTTGATCCACTTGGTGAAAGTCTTCTCCTGCATCTGCATGTGCCGGGCCTGCAGCTTGCGAATGTGGCCCGTCTCATACTGAGAGTCCACGGTGAGACTTGGACTGGGCGGGACCCGGAGGTTCGTGCTGGGCCTCCTGCTGCGGTGCCCTGCAGCTCCGAGGAGCTCCCGGGGACTCTGGGGCTGACCAGCCATCAGGCCTGCAGCCCTTTGGGGATGAGGAACTGCTGGACAGCCCCCTAAACCTGGAGGGCATGCAGGTTAGGGGATGATATGCCAGGGGCCTGGGGTCCTGCCTTGCCAGACTGTCCTCACATTTCATGGTGGTTGCAGCTTGGAGACCAGCCAGGTAAGGGCCAGTGCTTCTGATCCCCTGTGCTTGAATGTCCCAGGGTCCCCTTTGCCCCACCCCACCTTCCAGATTCTTCTTTCCAGAGCCCCTGCTGCCAGGTCCCTCTACCGCAGTGACTGGAGCAGGTGGAAGGAAGACAGGAAACTGCTTACCTTGGTGACGCCCGGGTCCTGTGGAGGTGAGCCTGCTGGATGGATGGAGATGGCAGATAGCAGGGGTTGTGCAGGGAGGGAGAGGGACATCAGGAGAGGCCGAGGCTGGAGTGCGACCGCACCACAGCCCTCCCCTTGAGCCAGCGTGCTGGGGTGACGGCACACAGGCGACATTGTCCTCCCACCTGCCACAGGGCGTGGCCCAGACTGGGAGGGGGTGGCTCAAGAATGCTCCAGGGCCATTGCCAGATGATCTCCTCCTTCATCATCCTCCTTTCTCCGCCAGCAACTTCCCCAACTCCAGGTGGGGGTCCTGGCTCCCAGGACGCAGAGGCCCTTGGGGTGGTCCTGCCACCCCGGGTTGGAGCTCTGTGGGGGTGCTGCAGTCTGCGTAGGAGGCACCAAAGGGCAGAGCCTCTGTGGGAAGCCTGTGGACGCACTTCCCAATCTGAGGCTGCCCTCTGTACCCTCGTGGGGCCTCTCTGTGAACACCCAGGGCAAGGGTATGAGGGAGCGTCCTGGGCCATGGTCTTCTCATTCACCCCCAGGGAACAGCCCATAGACTGAGGGCCTCACACACCCTGCGCTTGGCTTTCCAGGCCCTGCCAGAGGTGCAGCCTGCCAAGCCTGGGGCTGAAGGGTAGGCTCCCCGGAGGAAGGGGCGACCTGGAACTGCTGGGGCTGTGGAGTCTCCTCCAAAATGAGAGACATGGTGTTAACTCTGGGCTCCACAGAGCTGGCCATGACCCAGGGCTCGGAGGCAGGGGTGCACAGGGAGCTGGTGGGCGTCTATCCCTTCCTCCCCGAGCAGCCGTGGACTGCATGCCAGAGTGAAGGCAGGTTCTAATTCTGGTGGTCTCGCCCGCCTGTGGCTAAACTCAGGGTAGCAGTGTGGGCTGGGGTGCGTGTTTGTGGGTGTCTCCCAGTAGCCCCGGAGTCTGTGAAGCGACAGCCCACTCCTCAGGGAGGTGCTCCTGGCAGCCACAGCCCACAGTAAGACAGCAGCTGAGCCCGTCCTTGAGAGCTGGGCTAGGGAGTCACACCTGAACCGCCTGGGCCCACTGCAGGCAGTCAGGGGTGACGCTGAGAGGTGCCGTGGTCTCGGGTGGGGTGCAGCTCCCTACGTCTGAGAGACGCTTTCTCTCCTGCTGTCCTCTCCCTGCCAGGCCCCTCCTGCACCGGCTGGCTTCCAGACACCCTGCGCTCCTTCCTTGCTTTCAGCAGTTGCAGTGGTGGTCCTCCCGTGCGTCCCCCTTCTGCCCTCACTGCCCTGTGGGTCCTTGTCACCGACCCCCTAACTCGGCAGCCTAGGCACCACCACCCCGCACCTTTCCACAGTGCAGCTCTGCTCACGCCTGTGAAGCCTCCCACTGCCTGGGAAGGAAAACTCAGACTTGCCAGACCTTGCCTCAGCTAGGACTTTGAAGCCCGCCAGGTTACCTAACCAGGCCAGTCTGCCCGCCTCACTCTGGGTGCTCTCCATGGGCCACTCACCATTTCCCGAGCAGGACCAGAGCTCTCCTGCCCCAAGGCTGGGCTTCAGCTGTTCTTTCAGCTTCGAACGTCCCTTCCCACTCTCCATCATCCACATTCACCTGTCCTGTCTGACACAGTTAAAATCCTGTTTCTTCTAGAAACAACCTCATCCCACTCGCTCACCCTAGGGAGACTAGCTTGTTCCTTCTCCTAGTAAGACCCTCAACCTATGGAGTCCTGGGTGATGCTGTGAGCGCGGGAGGACGGACTGAACTGCGTGGTGCTTCGCACATAGTCCTCAACAGAGACTGGCATTTTGAAGTTGTTGGCGGGGGCTGTGGACTGCCTTTCTTCCTTTCTAACTCAACGGCAGCTAAAGCCACTGCACACAATGCAAGGACTGGCTCCTGTTTGACCATGTCTGATTGTAGCCCCTGGTGAAATGAGAACCCTGTGGGTCGGAACAAAGTTTGGATTATTTATGTGGCAAGTAACCAAAATCTCAAGTGAAACTGGTTTAAACAATATATTTTTATTATTTATTTACTTATTTATTTATCTATATTTAATTCTTTTTTAGAGACAGGGTCTTCTTATGTTGCTCAGGCTGGTCTTGAACTCCTGGCCTCAATGATATTCCCACTTCAGCCTCTCTAGTTGCTGGGATTATAGGTGTGAGCCACCATGCCTGGCTTAAACAGTATAAAGGGAATGCATTGGCCCACACAGTGGAAAAAATAAAATCTAGTAGGACTAGGACTTCAGGTGAAGTTTGATCCAGCAGCTCAAATGTCACCACAGGCCTGGATTCCTCTGGCCTTTCTCAAGGTCTCTTTCATTTTCATGCTCCACAAGGTGGCTTCTGCCAGGCTGACCTCCCTCCCCTGACCCCAGCAGCTCTGGACACCCCTCTCAATGCCATTTATATTGTTGCATCAATAGGCTCATTTCTATATACTGCAAGGTTCAGAGAAGAGAGAATCTCTCTCCCAAGAGTTGTAACAGAAGTCTGGGGGTCCTGGCTCTCATCAGCTTGAACAGGCCCACATGTCCACTCCTGAACCAGTATTTGTGACCAGGGGGATGTGGTCTATCTCATCCAAACCTCACTTGAAGTGAGGGTAGGAGGAGGAGTACTCTGCAAGGACTCTAGGTCTCAGCCACCAAAAAGGTAGATGGGTTGGTGGGAAAAGCCAGATGCCTACTACGGTGGTGGGCGGGGGAGGGCACACTGGCGAGGTGCGGCAAGAGGCAGGGGCAGTGCTGGCCAGGCAGGGGCTCCTCCCTAGCACGACTGGAGAAAGGACTCCTGTGAAGCGGCCACCTCCGTGAGTCCTTGCTGTCCTGGCTTCCAACCACTCTGAGGTGGGGCTTTCGTCTGCAGACCTGGCCTCTGCTGCCTGCCCTCTTCTGCCCCCACCCGATGGGGCTGCTTTCCTTCTGAAGCAGCCACATTTTGGGTTTTTCTCCACAGGAAGAGTTGGGGGTCACAGGCACACCCTCTCCCTAACTCTTCCCCCCCAGTTCAAACTGGATCCAGGGATCCACACTCTGCTCCGAGAGGCCAGCACGCAGCCACTGGAAAATGAGCCAGTGGGAGAGGCAGCTCCATGTGTACTGATCAGCAGACTGTGTCTTTTTGTTTGAAACTTCTAAATAAGATGACAAAAAGAAAAACAATGGAAGCACTGTGTGTTAACTGCATTGGTTAACCAACATTGGAACCCAATACACTCTTGTATTAGGCCCGCATTTACCTGAGTACTCAGTGGTTTTCTGTCCTAAGCATGCTCGCCTGCTACATCCCATGGAGGAAATAAACAGTGAAACACTTTCCTCATCTTGAAGGCAATCGTCTCAGGCATCCTCCAGGCATAATGAAGGGGGTGAGCGAGGGTGCGAGGCGGAAAGGTCCAGGCCGCAGCTGTGACTCCCGCGGGTGAACCACAGCCCCAAATCCAAAGACGCTCTTGCCACATCATGACAAGTGTTCAAAAGAGAACCAGGTCCAGCCCTGGAGAAATGAAACCAAAAGCCAACTGAAAGAATGACCCTCCCCCAAAAAGCGACCCTGCCCGCAGGCCATCCAAGTGCGGTGAGTTCGGACAAGAACTGACAGATGCTGCTGGGCCGGTGCAGGAGGTAGAAGCAGCAGTGGAAGGCTGTTGTGTGCTGCCCCTCCCTGGGAGCTGGGGAGATTCCCAAGTCTTAGTGCAGTGTTTCTTTACAAACGGGATCAGGAGACCCTCACTGGCAGGCTGACAACTTAGAAGCAGACTGTGGGAGCAATAGGCTGGAGTTTTCATTTTCCCTTTAAACTCAAGACCGGAAGGTTTGTGTTATGCGATACCATATGCTGTGTAGAAAACAGGGCCTCAGCTTCTTAGATGTTGTAGTTCTAGAGTTTAGGTACTTCCACCCTCCCTCCTATACATAAACACTCAGGGGAAGAGGTTCTTTGAAAATTGGGGTGGTGCAGGAAGGGCAACAGTGGCTGTGAGCAGGCCCCAGGGTCGGCCCTGCCGCCCTGCCGTGTGGGGTGGGGAGACCGCTGGTGGTGTGGACACATTCACAGAACTTTGTACTGGTCCTGGGAAGATACAAGTCCTCACTTGGTCACCATCCCTAATATTTTCCAGTGTTTTCTTTTCCAGTCAACTTTTCATGATGAATGACTTCATGTAAGAGGATATTAAGAAAAGTGGCCACATGATTTCCCTTTTTTTTTCTTTCTTTCCAAGAACATGACCAGGTGCCAGCAGGGAAAGGACCGCGCTGCCTGACGTCTCTCCCACCTGAGGGCGCAGAGGCAGGGAGATCACAGCGCCTGAGAGGCTTCCCTCCACGGAGAAATCGGAGACCTCAACCTGCTGCCCTCTAAAGCAGCTTTCTGTATCCAGACAAAACTTACATACGTACACGTTGTTTTAAAACGACATACTCATGTGACATACATGTATATAAATTCATGTTTATATATGACAATTGAGCAGGGTTAAAGAACAAGATAATTCTGGATGGAAAAATCAGCTTGCCTGGGCATCTCTAAGCCTTTGGTCAAGTGAATTCCCTCTTCCCTTCCTCAGTTTACCCTTTGGTGACCTGCACTGTGGTTGCAGACTTCAGGTGGTCCTCACGCATTTACAGAACTGTCTGCTTAGATTACAGCAGTTTGGGAGGCCGAGGCGGGTGGATCACGCGGTCAGGAGATGGAGACCATATTGACCAACATGGTAAAACCCCGTCTCTACTAAAATACAAAAATTAGCCAGGCGTGGTGGTGCGTGCCTGTTTTTCCAGCTACTTGGGAGGCTGAGACAGGGGAATCGCTTGAACCTGGGAGGCAGAGGTTGCAGTGAACCGAGATCATGCCACTGCACTCCAGCCTGGTGACAGAGTGAGACTCCGTCTCAAAATAAAAATAAAAATAAAAATAATAAAATGATAAATGGTTCTTTTCTATGTATCTAATGAATTTAAGTGCTTGCTAAGACTAAAAACCACATTATGCATTTCCTTCTCTTAAAACTAAATTATGTGGAAAGTAAGCTAGGGAGTGTGAGGGTGGGCATCTGGATATAAATGCTTCTCCCAAGTCAAGATCTTCTCTTCTATCTGTGCCTTTGACCCTGTCACCAAAGGCAGGTGACAGAAAAAAAAATTATGTGACTTTTGGAAGACTCGGTGGGACGGTTCTGATTTCACTCACTTCTGGTGCCCCGTACCATGTGGCTGTCGCTGTTTTGTGTCTCTTCCTGCATAAATAATGGTGGATGGCACCTACCTCCCCAAGTTGGTGCCCACAGAGGGGGAGGCACCTCTACCTGACACAGTTGTCTCAGCAGCGGTCCAGAGAGGTTTACTCAGGGGATTTGGGGAGAGCACACTCTGGGGCCAAAGTACAGGTATGTGCCCGAATCCTGCCTCATGACAGGCATTCATGATACGAACCACACAGCCTTTAAAGAAAAGCTTTTATATGAAAGGTTCCATTCTGTTTCTGTATAAAGGGCTTTTATCCTGTAAGAAAAAAAAAAACAACCCTAAATATAATAAATGCCTGTTTTCTACAAAAACAATGTCTAACTCTGGGTGGACTGATCTCTTCTCAACAGCCCAGGGCAGGGCTGGTCCCTCATTCACCTGTGTCCACAGGGCCGAGGACACTGCACACACTAGGACAGGATTTGGCTGAATTTAAATCCTGCCACCCACCAAGGAGACTTGGGGATATTTACTGGTTGAGGGCCACACTGAACAATCACTGCAGAGAACCACCTCTTTTCCTTACTGTAGTTTAAGTATGATACGTGGGTTTTGCTATTACTTACTGGAAAAACTAGTAAGAAAAGCTCATCTTCAGGCTTCAATGTGATTTGACGTGCAAACGGGAAGTTTTGCCAGGGGTTAATAAAGGTTGTGAGTTCCAAATTCCTAGCCGAATATGGCTTTGCTGGAAAGCCCCCTGGAGGGGAGGCTGGGAGGGCTGACCAGGTGGTCATCGGGGCAGTGGGACGGATGCACGCTGGGGCCTGGCTGCCTGCTCTGCAGAATGGATGGGGGATCCACAGTGCATCCCCCTTCCAAGCCCAGGAGACATCTGTCGCCTTCTCTTTGGTAGACAGTCTGGAGACAGCAGAAACCCTCTGCTCTGTTTTTTGCCACTCTAAATATAGCAGAAAACAAAATAAAATAAATAAGATAATCTTTGCTGCCTCCTGGTGCCCTCTGAGGGCCAGACAGCTGCTCCAGAGTCGTTCACGAGAACGAACAGCCCAGGCAGCCTGAAGACCCGGCTGCTCCGCGTAAGCCCCAGCTCCCTTCCTGGGGTTCCTGGGACGCACCAGGCCCATCCCCATGCGTGCTCCAGGCAGATTCTGAGGACTCTTTGGACAATTTCTCTTTCTTCTCAACCATTCAATCTCCTAATCCACCCTCCTACCCCCAATATTTTCATAGAAACAAAGGGAATTTTGGAGGTGAAAGAAGTCATCTAGTTTCCAGTGTTCACCCTCCCTGTTCTACAGATGGGGAAACTGAGGCATAGAGAGGGCAGTGCCTTGCCCAAGGTCCTTCGGTGAGTCAGTGGCGGAGCAGGCCTGAGGCCCGGGTCCTCCAGTTCCTGCCCCGTTCTGCGGCCCGCCCCTCAGTCGGCCTTGGGCAGGGACTTCCTGTGCGAGGGTGGCACGAGGTGGGGGGGCAGGCTGCTGGGCAGCTCGTAGCCATCGAGCTTGATCTTGATGAGGTGCTTGGCCAGCGCGAACTCCTCCTCGTCCAGCATGCCATCGCAGTCGCAGTCGGCCAGCTTCCAGATCTTGCCCAGGACGCTGTTGGGCAGCTTGGAGGTCACCATCTCCTTCTTGGCGTTGACACCCGATATCTTGCCATTGATGGGCGACAGAGTGTAGAAGAGCTCATCATAGACGGGCTTGTCTTTGGCCACGACCCACTCCTCCTCGTCGGCGCCCTCCTTGGCGCCCTCCCCGTAGCCCTGGTTGAAGGGGCCCTCCGTGGTGCCGTCGAAGGCGCCGCCCTGCACCAGCTGCGTGGGCGTGCTCATCTCCTCCTGGCTGATGAGGTTCATGAGGGGCGAGATCTTGTTGCTCAGCATGTTGTCCACTGCCTCGATCAGCTTGGGCTTCAGCGAGTGGAATTTGGTGAAGTCGTAGTTCTCAAGCTGTTCCTGCAGAAGGACAAACCACAGGATGGGTTACATGCGGTCTCTTCAGGGGGAAACAGCTGGGGGCCGTTGGAGGGAGACTAATTCTGCCCCGGGCAGACGCCCACCACGCACTACTCAGGAGTGCATTCTTTGGGAGCTTCCCATATCCAAGTGTACCAGATATAGGAGCGGTTTTTTGGGAACAAGAAACAGGTGTTTTCCTACGTCAGCCAATCTCGGCTGGTGGCCGCACGAGCAACAGCAACCTCCGAGGACTCTGAGAAACCTTCTTTCACCTGCCTTTTTAAAATGCTCTAGAGTTAGTATTCTATTTCTCAAGGGATTTCACCACACACTTCAGCCGATCTTCACAGCAATCCTGGGAGGAAGGAGGGGCAGGCATTTAGAACCCCATTTTCCAGGGAGCTGTGAGGGGCTGTCTGGCAGAGGCAAGGCAGAGTCCCTGTCTCCTGGCTCTTCACTAATGCTCTCTGAGCGGGAACACAGAGCTGTGACAGAAGGACTGTATTTACATAAAACAATTAATTAAGTACCTTGTTTTCAGAGCACCTAAAAAATGTAGTTTAGGACGCCTTCTCAGTGGCTCTAACCTCTCATGAATGAGCTGAGGGGTCTACTCAACAGGAACCCTGTAGGACCAGCCCCACCAAGCACGGCCTGACCAGGAGCACCCACGCTACCCCAGGAAGGTATCGAGGCAGGGCCATGGAGACCTTGCACATAAAAAATAATCATCACGGATCCACTGTCATCTCAAAAATATGGACAAGTAAGCAAAAGCTGGAACTTGTAAGAGCAGGGAGTAGGGCTGGGGAGCCCGAGGGAATACACGTAGCCAGTAGGCCTGAGTATCACTGGCCAGGTCAGGACAGGTCTTAGCTCCACCTGTTGAGCGAGGCAGCCTGTCAGCCCACAGAGCAGCAGAAGCACAGGCTCTAGAGGGGGCCTGGCAAACATGACTGCCCACCCAGGCTGGGGCAGACTACAGGATGCCACAGAGGCTCTGTGGACGGCACTGTAGAAAATGACCTTCCTACCTTGGTTCTCCTTGGTTACTCCATCCATCCGTCCATCCATCCACCTGTCCAATCAACCCTCCATCTAACCATCCATCCATTCAATCAACCCTCCATCCATCCATTCAGCCAACAATTCATCCATCCACCCACCCACCTGCCCAACTTTTATTTGTCATTTACTCTGCACCAGCCCCTGTTCTGGGGCTTGGGGATATAGAATAAATATGAGAAGCCATAGTTCCCGCTTTAAATGAGCTTCTGTTGTAATGGAGGACGGACACTCCAATTGTTTAAAAAAGGACCTGACATAACACAGTGAAAAGGATAACATGAAATTAGTAAGTCATTAAAAAGAAAAAAGCCAAGTCATTAAAAGGGAGAGCGGCCAGGCTCGGTGGTTCACGCCTGTAATCCCAGCACTTTGGGAGGCCAGGGTGGGAGGACTGCTTGTGCCCAGGAGTTCAAGACCGGCCTGGGCATGAGACCTATATATATATGTGAGGGAGAGGAAGGGAATAATCACATCAGATGGCTGAGGTTAAGGAAAACTACTGCCTGGATATGGAGAAGAGCTCAGTTGCCCAGGGGGACCCCTGGGGACCCTCACTGTCTAAGGAGAGAAAACACTTGTTTATTGCAAGAGACAAACTTTCCGTGGCCCTGAACTGTGAGAGTTACCTAGAGCTTTACATGAGGAGCTTCAAAGATCTGATGAAAAATGTCTTCAACAGTAGTTTTATCAAACAAATGCAGAAATGTTCCAGGTATGGTAGGTTTTATGTGTGAAGTATTTCTGTATGTACAGTTCTAGAGGGGGCCAAAAGACAGGCCATGCAGGTGTGCAGTTTTCTGGAGATGAGGCAGGGAGATTTGCAAGGAAAAGTCAGACCTTGCTGTTTTGGACAGAAGCAATGTGACACGCTGCTAGGGGAAAAAAACAAAAACCAAAAAACAAACAAACAAAAAAACTTGGTGTTATCATAAATATGCTTTCTGACTGAGAAACTGAGAAAAAACTGGTAAGCAAAACTAAAAATTTAAAATAATTTATAATCTCATCATTTGGCAAAAATCTCTGCTAGCATATCTGGGCATGCATTTCTAGCCATTAACACATACACAGACACACACATGCATGCACATACACACACTGAAACAATAATACCATACTGTTAACAATATGTCATATATTTCTGTGGTATTAATTTTTACATAACCTTTCTCTTAACAGCTACAGAATATTGAACTTAGAGTGCAGAGCTGGGCCATTCTTCATTTACCCTGTCCCCTGTAGCTGGACACACAGGTTGTTTCCAATAGAGAATCAAAATCATGGTCTCTAGGATGGCAGGGCAGGAATTCTGGGCTGACATTTGGAAGGGGATTCCCGGGTGGTAGACAGTGGGGGGACAGAGCTGAGAAATATCAGCTAAACGGGCTGACATTTCTCTAGGGAAGGGACTCTGACATTCTTCTCAGGTAGCAACGTCAGCAGCCACTGAATCGTGCAAACCCAGCGTGTGGCCCCTGCTCAGCTCAGAGCAGCGGGTACTGCAGGCCGGGTCTCTCAAACGCAGTCACTAGCATTCACTCCTGACATCAGCACCAAACAATGCGGCCTGCACTGCGGGCTCCTACCACCAACGTCTGTCAGCCGAGGAGATGGAAAAGAGACAGCTAAGCAGGTGGAGGAGCAGGCATCCCCCACAAAAATCCCAGCGCTGCTGGCTCAACAAGTTTGGATTCCCCGGGTGCGTGAACACCTACCCCATTTCCTTAAGAATGAGCCTGTGCTCGGAGCGCACACAGAGCCCCTGTGTCTGGTCCAGCAGACAAAGGAGGGTGATGCCTGCCCAGACTTCCCACCAGCCTGCAGGGGCCGTGGATTCCGACTGCAGAGCTCTGGAAAACTGGCAGGGGGAGCGGCCGCATATTTGCGGGGTGGACAGGAGGCAGCAGTTATTTCCGTCCTGGGAGGCAGGCAGGAAATAAACTCTCCATTCTCATCCCTGTGGTCCCCCCCAGGCTTGACCGGGGACTGCGGGGGCACCAGTTAAACCATCATCATGTCACTCCTGACATCAGCACCAAACCATCATCATCCCTGCCCTCTGCCAGGGTGAGTCCAAAATCGTTCTTATTGGGATGAATACACACTGGGGAACTTAAAGGTATTTGCCCATCGACAGTTGTATCCACTGAGCTAGGACCCTGGAATTGCTCCCTCTCAAGAGGCAAAGGTCCGTTCCCAGCCCCCGTCTCCGGTAGGGCTGTCCCTTGCTCATTAATTGCCAACATTCACCAGAAGAGTTTGCAAATCCACCGGAGGGTCTGAGCAGACGGAGCTGACTCTGCTGCCCCCTGCTGTTGAAATGCTGCCAACTCATGAGCTGAGGGGTCCAAATTCTCCTTCCAGTGGGAATATCAGAGTCAGCAGCAGTCACGGTGGCCCTTCTGGCGCTCATCTCGTCCTGCAGTATTGACACTGTGCTGTCAGTCACGGTCCCTCCCCAGAGTGTGCCAGGCACACACCGGCAGCCACACAGGTGGGTTGCAGAGCCTGTCCCAGCACAGGGAAGAGCCTTCAAAATACATGCTCCTCTCACTGCTACAGCTAAGAGTCACTGTGACCAGCTGGCTCCATGAGAGGACAGGGAGAACAGCAACCTAAACTGGCATCAGCAAACTCTCCGCGTGACCCTGATATGTGCAAAGATCACAATACAGTCACTTCTAAGCGTATGCCCACTCTCTGTCAAGGCCTATGTTGTAGAGGATGTTAGACTTTAACAGTCTCAGGGATGGGAGAGGCCCTAATCCACATATGTGCCCCTCAAAGCTTCCAGTGACAGCAAGGTAGCTTGCAGTATCAGGTGTCACTGAGCATTCCTGACAGGCTCCATGCTGCCTTATTCCTGGGGATTCTCTGAAGGAACCGGGTGGTGTGACTGGACCTCAGCTTACTTCCCAAGAAGGCCTCTTCCTGCAGCTTCCAGGCCTTGGCACTGGGAACCCCTGGTCTATAAGCCCTGTGGGAATCGAGGCTGGGTCAGGGCCTGAGAGCCTGCTGTGATATGGCCTTACACTAACTTACCAATTCATTCGGCATGTGTTAACTGAGCACTCACTACGTCCTAGATGCTGGGGATATGGCAGTGAACAGTGGGTCACTGATCTCATGGAGCCGCAGACTTATGTGGGAGAGAGATACTAAATATCAGATATCAGATAATCCAATTACATGGAAGCACAACGGTGCTCATATTGTAAGAAGAAACATGTGTCCTGACAATGGGGTTGTTGTCAATTATTTTTACCCCCATTTGTTCATTTTTTCTGTTTTTTGAGACAGGTCTCCTCTGTCGTCCAGGCTAGAGTGCAGTGGCACAATCATGGCTCACGGCAGCCTTGACCTCCTGGGCTTAAGCCATCCTCCCACCTCAGCCTCCCAAGTGGCTGGGATCACAGGCATGAGCCAACCACATCTGGCTAATTTTAAAATATTTTAATGGATACAGGGTCCTACTACGTTGCCCAGGTTGTTCTCCAACCCCTGGACTCAAGTGATCCTCCCATTTCGGCCTCCCAAAGTGCTGGGATTACAGGCATAAGCCACCATGACCAGCCCCATTTGTTCATTTTTTTTTTTTCTGATTTATTCCAGGGGCCTAGAACAGTGATAGCAGCAGGAGGCAGACAAATGCTGAGGCAGACAGGGGCGGGTCTCCAGTGAAACTCTATCTTCAAGCCAAAGGCATTTTAAAGCCTGCAGGCCAAGCTACAAGTCAAATCCACAGACCAGACTGAGAACGTGTCTTCCCATTTGGCTGCTTTTCTTTGATTGATCCCTACCCTTCACCTATTTTACATATACCTACCCTTCCCTAATTGTTTTTACACTGTCATGCCCACCTTTGACTGGTGCCTTTGTTTTAACCTTTTTTGTATACCCACAAATCAATCAGCATGCACTCCTCTAACCTGTGCCTATAAAAATCCCAGACTCAGCCACACTGGGGAGATGACCTGACTTCGGGAGAGATGACCCAATCTTCCCATCTCCTCTTCACTGAGAGCTGTTTCGTTGCTCAATAAAATCCTCCACCCTCATCACCCTTCAATTGTCAGCATGACCTCATTCTTCTTGGATGTGGGACAAGAGCTTGGGACCCACCAAATGCAGATACCCAGAAAGGCTGTAACACTGGCCCTCCGCCCTCATTGGTGGAGGGTAGCCATGCCACTCAACAGAAGCAGTGGTGGGGCCCAGCTGGTCCAGAGCCATGGGCCAGAGCAGGGTAAGAGGGTGACTGAGCTGCTAACATTATGCAGAACTAAAAGAGCTAATTAGCATACTGTAACACCCCTCCTGGGGCTTTGGGGTTGCAGGCATCCCTGCCTGGGCACTGCCACATTCCCCTTGGGGTGACAGACCTGGTCTGGCTGCAGACCCTGCACAGAGCCTGCTCCTATGTCAGCACTTGGAGTGGCCGGCTGGATCCTGCACTTGCTTGCTCACCCACCTTCAGTGGTGCTAAGGTACTGGGCATAGACCTGACTCCAGGTGATTCTCAGCAAAGGCTCAGCCCTCCTTGTATCCTCCATCTCAGTGGGCCACGGCTGCTCCTGAGATCATGCTTTCCTTGTTGCCTTCCCCCAGCTCAGAGGACCCTGGGTGTCTTCTGACCTGGCCATCCCAGGCTAGCTTTGTCATGAGTAGCTCTGGTTCCAGAGTCTGCTCTCTACGTTATTGGGCTCACAGGGGACCAGCAGGAGAGGCCTGGCAAGGGAGGAATCTGCAGAGCCCCAGGGCTCAAGAGCAGCGTCTCCCCGCGGCGAGGCACTGTAGCAACTTCAGGAAGCAAGGGTGACAGGGTCTCTTTCGCCTGGCCTGCTCCACTGTTTGTGTTATTGGGTAGTGGCTGCAGGCATCTGAGTGTGTGGCTCCTGCTTTACAGAAAGGACTGTGGCCCCCAGGGCAGAGGGGTCCCTGCACCAGATAAGAAGACAGCCAGCCTGGCTCTGTGAGGACTGTCAGCCCAGACGCCAGACGGGTGGCCTCGCTTGTGAGGGCACACTCATCTAACAGCAGTGCGGACAGGTAGATATGCTGGTCGGGCCGGGGCGGCTGAATGCAGCACCCGTTGTTGCCTGGCTAGAGCCGCCCGGCCACAACTCAACAGAGGCCTTGACAGCGGGCCAACGGCTGCCCAGCGCCAGCCTTTAAGCACGGTCCTCCCTGTGCCCACACAGTCCAGCAGCGTCCGCAGAGCCCCACAGCCCCTGCTGGAGCCCTTGAGCCTGCAGCAGCAAGGCCGCCTGAGCACATAATCCCACAGCGTGGGGCAGGTCCGGGCAGGGCTGGAGGAGGCTGCCCAAGGTGACCCTCAAGGCCACTCCCAGCTGATTCCCTCAAGGTTCCGGGATTCCAAAAAGCAGTGTCACCGCAACACCAACCAGCCTCCTGGGACACAGTCTGAGAGGGCTGCTCACCTGACTTTCTCATGGGAGCTTCGTTTGCCTTTGGCCATGTGTCTCCTTTGTTTACTCATTTTGGAAGACAGACAATTTCTGCTTTATTCATAGCCTATTATCATGGATCACCATTAGGAAGGCGCATTCTCCTTGATCCTAAACCATGAGACCCTCATGTGTCTCCAGCAAACAGTCAGACAATGTGGCACTGCATCTCCACCTTCTGCCCATGACATTGTGAGGGGCTCCCAGTACCTGCATAGCCTTGACCTCGGGGAAGTCCCCTGCAGAAATCTGGTATTCTCGCTGTAGCTGAATGTAGATTTCCGGTAGCCTGCTGATAAGCTCTCTCTTCTTGTTTTCCTTTCCAAATACACTTGGCATCTCCTTCTTCAGGTAGCTGATGATGTAGGCATGCACCTGGAGGGGTATAGATCAGGCAGGGAAGTGTCATTTAGAATTGCACCAGAGAAGGAACAAACAAGATCGCATCTTAACTCCATCATAACACATAGCAGGTACCCACACAGACCAGGTCCCAAGCACAGGAGGAGGGGAGGGTACAGGGGGAGTGCAGCTGTCCAGGGGTGGCTGGAATGCGGCCAGACTTGGGGAAATTCTACGGCTACTGTTCCGTTGTGCCTCTGAGTGGCAATTCTGGTGCCTGTAGGGAGTGAGTGGTATTGGTGGGGCCTGGGTGGGAGAGCTCTTAGTTCTGGCAATTAACCAGAATACTCAAGAGAAAGTTTTACCAGGCTGGTGCCTGGGAGCACCAGGAAATGAAACTGGAGGCTGGTGTCAATGGCTGATCAACATGGAAATCTGTACCCAGTGAACAATTTGATGAGAACTCCCATAACCCCCGTTGTGGGAGGTTTAGACTCTGAGATCTCTGCAGGCGGAACGAGAGTCATTCTGCACAAGACTAGCTGCCTGGGATCAGGCTGGATGGCAGAAGATCCCTCTGGGAGAGGAGCCCAGAAACCTTGATCACTGGGGCCTGGGGTCTGTCATTGGAGGGGAGAGAATCTGGCCTTAACATTTCCACTCTTCTACTGATTTCCAGCTTCAGGATATTAAGAAATGTTCACTACAAAAGTTCTCTTTGTGCATCTGTTTTTTTTGGATGGAATCTTGCTCTGTTGCCCAGGCTGGAGTGGAACGGCATGATCTTGGTTCACTGCAACCTTCACCTCCTGGTTCAAGCGATTTTCCTGCTTCAGCCTCCCAAGTAGCTGGGATTATAGGTGTGAGCCATCACGCCCGGCTAATTTTTGTATTTTTAGTACAGATGGGGTTTCACCATGTTGGCCAGGCTGGTCTTGAACTCCTGACCTCAGGTGATCCACCCACCTTGGCCTCCCAAAGTGCTGGGATTACAGGCATGAGCCACTGTGCCCGGCCTCTTTGTACATCTTGAATTCCAGAGTAATTGTGAAGTCAAGTAAGTAACTAAAATAAGAAAGGATGAAAAACAGAGTGGTGATTACAAAAAAGCAAATGACTATGTAGCAGTGGAAAATCCTATTGAAGAAAACAGGCTTCTACTGTAATCTTGTGGAAGTTGAAATTAAATAAAGGGGGTAAGCAGATACATTCGGTAGCTCAGCTGAGGGCCCGTGTGTGGACACATGCTGGACACAGCCAAAAACCTTTTGCGAGGATTCGGACGCTAACCTAAGTACCTAATGCAAGGTCTGACATGCTGAGGTCAGATAACGCCAACTTCCCGTCTGCACAAGGGTCGTTTAACAGAAGCAGACACTGTGCAGCCTGGCTACCGCTGAGAGGATGGACTTGGAGAGAGAACGCTAAACCTTTCTGTCACCAGCAAACTTGTTTATGTACTTATTTTTCAAATGAAGACAACTGAAATGATTTACAAGATTCTTAGAGATAACTAGAGAAACCCAAAGTTTGGGATCCGTTATTTAGAACCCTGGGCTTTAACCGCACTCCTGAGGCTGTGATGAGCAAGTGGTAAGCTACCAATTCCTTTGCCTCCGGCAGTGAATGCCTGGCTTGGTGTGGGTGGGCTGGGGAGGGCCAGGGCTGGGGGAGCACCCTCGAACTGGAGGGGCTGCCACGTTCCATCAGGGAGAACCAGCTGCTCACCAGCTGTCCTCGCATCATTTCCTTGGTGCAAGGAACTCTGGACTGGGCCTATGTATATATTCTCTGTGTATACCTATGTGTACTCTCTCTTCTGTGCTCAGGCTCACCCCACCCTGGAGCCACCCCAAGGGAAGCAGGAGGCCCCCACAGCTGCTCAGTCTCCCAAACACAAGGGCTTCTTATTGAGACACCCCCCTTCTCTGCCCTGGGGCCCCGCCCTGGAGCAGCTGCCTAGGCCCCTACAGGGCTTCCCAAGACCCCTCACCACCTACTAGTAAGGTACCTCTGAGCTGCCAGGTCCCCCAGCTCAGGGAGGGCTTAGTTCCCACTCCTCTGTCTGACTGCTCGCCCAGTCCCTGTCCCCCACCCCCAAGGCTGGGCACACTGTTCCTGAACACTCCCTGGTGCCCAGGGCCCGCTTTACCTGCACTGAACTCAGCTGATGTGCACCTGCCACGCCCTCCACCCACTGAGTGGCACCTGCTCCGTCTCAGGCCTCGTGGTGTTTGCTGGCTGATGACCGAGGCTGCCCCAACACTAGCCCTCCAGCGCCCTGACAAACCTGGGGCTGATCTCGTGCCAGGTCTCAACTCCCTCCTCCTTCCACCAGCCTGGTGCCACCTGAGTCATGACCCTTAGGTGACCTGCTCACACTGCGGCTGCTCTCGGCCCCAGCCTCCACTTCTGGGAAGTTCCATTAGCCTGTTTTGTGGAAGTCTCCTGTTCCGCTGCCTCTGCACATCCACCTGCCTCCTGCCCTTCCTGGTGCGTCCTAGGTAATAACCCAGGGCCAGCTTCTGTGCACGGACCTGCTTTCAGAAGTTCATCAAGTTGGCTGGGCGCAGTGGCTCACGCCGGTAATCCCAGCACTTTGGGAGGCTGAGGCAGGTGGGTCACTTGAGGTCAGGAGTTCGAGACCAGCCTGACCAACATGGTGAAACCCCGCTTCTACTAAAAATACAAAAATTAGCTGGGTGTGGTGGTGTGCTTCTGTAGTCTCAGCTACTCGGGAGGCTGAGGCAGGAGAATTGCTTGAACCCGGGAGACGGAGGTCACAGTGAGCTGAGATTGCCCCACTGTATTCCAGCCTGGGCAACAGAGCAAGATTCCATCTCAAAATAAATAAATAAATAAATATATAAATATATAAATAAATACATTCATCAAGTCACAAGGTAAATTATAATTCTTGGCATCATGGAGTACTGAATCTGGAAGTGACCCCCGATATCTAATTTAATTCCTGGTTCCAGGACATCCATGTGACTCACTCAAGGTCACACAGCTAGTTGGCAGATGCGGAGCTGGCACTAGCATCCAAGTGCCTCATTCCTGTCCTGAAAGAACTAATGACTCCCTGTGGGTATGCGTTCATAATCTTACTGAAGTTGTTCAAAATCTGGAATTGAAAATGAACTGTGTCCCACAGAATGAGTTTGGAAAACTTTGATTTGAGGTTTGACTTCTGATTGTGTCTAATTCACTGAGAAGCTTTGGAAGGGTCCTTTATTCTCCCTTTCCCCACACATCAAATACGGACACAATGATGGCACACAAACGTCAGGACACCACGTGGGAATGCGGGTGAAGACTGCGAGCTGCTGGCAGGATGGAACCCTGTCATTTTCTAAAGTCGTCTGGTAAACAGACGGGACAGCCTGAATGGCTAAAATTCACAGTCAGCCTCCAGAGCTCACTCCTGCACTTACGTGTCAAAGGTGTCTCCAAATACATGCCAGACCGAGGGCCAGACCTGGCGGTTGTCCCTGGGGAAGGAGGTGGAAACACACGGGTCTTTTGACCTTTATACCGAGATAAAACTAATTGGGAAGAGGAGGAGTAGGAAAGAGAAGAGGGGGACTAGACCTAGCGCTGGAAGATGAGGCTCAGGCCCTGTGACCACTGCCTACCCACTGAGCAACTTGGGGCCAGGCGTGGGATCTCCGCCTCAGCGTGCTCATCCACAAATTAGACATGACAGCAACATTCAGCTCACAGAGTTATTATGAGAATAGCAGAGGCCATGCATTTGAATGCACTCTGCTCACTAGAAAGAAGAGTAAATGCAACTTGTTATCAACTAATGGCCAAAGACCAACAGCTGGAGGTGCAGAATGCGCGAGAGGGCTCCCGACTGGTTACTCCTTACCAAATAATTAATAAACTCTCTCTATTTAAATAGTAATAAAATGAATTTGGGTTCCAAGTGTTTAATTTACATTGACCCCTGGGGGCTTCTGAACATTCGTATCTTGTTCAAGTCATCCTTTGCCCTGTGTAAAGTTGCAGAAGCCCCAAGGCATCTAATGGGGATGACTGGGGGAAATCAAAAGGATCAAAATGACAAATGAGTTTTTCTCTAGGCTAATAACTCAATAAGCAGAAAGGAATGTCCTCCCCTTTAAATGTATACGAATGCATATGTAGTTCACACTTTCACTCTGACACAGGTCTCATTAATTGCGTCCAATGATGTGTGTGTGTGTGTCTCCAAGACTGAGACACACATACTAAAGAGTGATACTGGCCACATCTACTCTGGGCTTGGAGGGTAAGTTCAGCGAGTGCTGGATGCTGGCAGTCACCAGTGCTGGAATGAAAAGCTTCCTGGAATGTGAGGATCAGGCAGTAGGTGAGGGAAGGTGGGCTGGGAAGGCATGGTGACGCCTGTGCCATGCTCATCCGCAAACTTAACGCGACCTGCTAGAGATCTGCGGCTTTGGAAGCCCAGCTCTGGAAACCTGCATAGAGTATTTAAAGCCAGGGTATCAGCACGTTTATAAAGTGGGTTTATGATAATATAAAAAATTCAGTTAATAAGCCCGAGACCCGAAAGATGAACCCATGGGGTAACAAGAGTGTGAGACTGTGAGAGGCAGAGAAAGGCGGCTGACGTGTTCCCACTTGAGCAAGGGTTTGTTATGCTGCTAAGATCAAAACTGGCTCCAATGGCATGAGTAATTCTGTGCAGCCTCAAAGGGGACTGGAGGGGGCCACACAGTCGTCTGAGGTCAACCTTCAAAGAGACAGGCTTCCATTTATGGGCTCAAGCACTGACACACACACGTCCACAGGAGCTCAGGGCTGCTGACCGAGTTATTTTTAGAGCCCTGCCGAGGACTAGGCAATACCACGATCTTCATGATCCATCATATCATGATTCTCACACCCTTTAGCCTGAATCCCTTTGGTGCACAAAAAATGTGTCATTTCTTTATAGGAGGGTTTTTTTTTTTTTTTTTTTTTGAGATGGAGTCTTGCTTTGTCGCCCAGGCTGGAGTGCAGTGGCATGATCCTGGTTGACTGTAACCTCTGACTCCTGGGTTCAAGCGATTCTCCCGCCTCAGCCTCCTGAGTTGCTGGGATTAAAGGCGCCCGCCACCACGCCCAGCTAATTTTTGTATTTTTAGTATAGATGGGGTTTCACCATGTTAGCCAGGCTGGTCTCGAACTCCTGACCTCAAGTGATCCGCCCGCCTCGGTCTCCCGAAGTGTTGGGATTACAGGCGTGAGCCACCGTGCCCGGCCTATAGAAGGAATTTGACAGTGCAAACAGACAGGAAAGCCAGGCTCTGCACATCACATGTGACTGAGAAGAGTCTATGTTTGAAAGAATAAGCTAAATTCCACAGAACTATAGTGAACCTTGAGAATCACTGAGCTCTCCTCTTCTTTCTCAGTTTTACTTGTTTCTTCCTCAAATGTTGCCTCATTTTTGTTGAGCAAAGATCTCCAAATGGGTGACAGCCTTTCCTATTGTTGGGCAATATGTTTCTAAAGGGTGGGGTCTGACAGTGAACTTGCACTGTTTGGGATTTGTACGAGTCTAATTTCTTTAATTTGGCTATTTTAGTTATAGCTGAATAAAAGTAAACGATATTTTCCAAACCCTTTTTTTGAGCTTTCGCAAAACAGCTTCCTTTAAAGAATCATGAAACGAACCCTGACTGGCATTTCAGAGTGTGAGCCGCCTTCCAAGAAGGATGTCTACTGAGACTGTAAGAAGTGATCTTTGAGGCTAACCAAAAACCCACTCTAAAGGTTTCCTGTTCCTTAAATACAGAGTTGTGAAAAAAATATATAAACAGAAAAAGCAGGGAAATAAACTTCAAGAGCTCTTTGGGAAGAGTATCTACTTTTCACGTGATTAAAATGTCACCTTTATGACACTTGGAGTGTGATTAAAATGATGACGCACTTGTTTTATCTGGATGGGCCATGAATCCTGGTTCATTATGGTGTTCTATAAATAAACATACTCCACAACCCAACTCAGACTTGACACCTCTTAGCTGACATCTGAAAACTTACCCTTTGCATGTTTTCAAAGTGTCAGCTTGATAAACCTAAACTTTGTAGGGTTTCTGTGGATGGAGACTTTAAAAGAATAAACAGAATAACAGATCAGTGCAGAAAACAAGGACACGTGTGAGGAGGTACTGCAGCTGCCATCCACTCCCGATTTCAGGTGACTGCTTTCTGGACTGAGGTGTCACACTGACCGAGGTTTGAATGTACACTTTGCAGCTTACAGGCTGTGAAGCCTTGGGGACATGACTTTAGCTTTCTGAGCTTCGGTTCCCTCAGGTGGGAAATGAGGACAAAAATGCCCACTGTGTAGCTGTCAACAGGATCAAACAAAATAACACACGTAAGGTAGACTACAGAGCTTTGGAACACTGTTGATGTGAAAAAGGAAAACTGGATCAAGAGAAAGGTTCATAAACCAAAATAAAAGCACTTTTGGGAAATATAAACACTCCGAAAAGAAAAACTCAGGTAAGTCTCTGTCCATTGAAGCAGAAGCAAGTTCAGTGGTGGAACATGGAACTGCAGGTGGTATGAGGTCAATGTCATGAGTTAGCGGCCAAGGCCACCGTGCTGAGTCCGGCTTCTCCTCCGGGTGAGCCCGCTTCCTGTCCCCGCTCTTCAGCATGGCACTGCCCACGAGCGACTGGCACTGAGAAGCTCTGGCTGCAAATACCCATACTTCAAACATTTTCCTTTGTGAAAAGGAACAAGCCAGATACTATTCTTAGGAGGAAAAAACCCACAAGCCTTTTTCCTACAAGTAAGCTCAGCAAGTTTGTCGTCCCCACTCCCCACATCCACACAAGGGTTTTCATTATTCACGGCGTCAGAATATAGAGCAGTGTTCTGTGCCTCTCCAAACCCAGGCCACACTGGCCCGTTCAGAGGGCCCAAGGCTCAAGGATGGCAGGGAAGCTCTATGGGTTAAGGTGCCTGGTATTTCCAGAGAGCTTTCTGCTCCTTATTTATTTATTTATTTATTTGAGACAGAGTCTCGCAGTGTCACCCAGGCTAGAGTGCAGTGGCGCAATCTTGGCTCACTGCAACCTCCACCTCCAGGGTTCAAGTGATTCTCCTGCCTCAGCCTCCTGAGTAGCTGGGACTACAGGTGTCTGCCACCATGCCTGGCTAATTTTGGTGTTTTTACTGGAGATGGGGCTTCACTATGTTGGCCAGGCTGGCCTTGAACTCCCGACTTTGTGATCCGCGCGCCTCGGCCTCCCGAAGTGCTGGGATTACAGGCGTGAGTCACTGTGCCTGGCCTCCTTATTTATTTATATGACTGAATACAGCAGCATTTCCAGTCACTGGGTCCTCAGCAATAACTGGTAAATGAAGAATGTACATGAGCATTTAAAAATAGTTCAAAAAAATGTCAAAATCTGCAAAGCCTATGACATGAGTCACCAACTTTGGTTATAAAATAACGTGGGGTGTCACATACCCCGAAGGTTGTTCAGTTGTACCTGCTGGAGAAAGGAAACACCACAAACCAAGGGATCACCGAGCGGAAAAACAGCCTTCCTGCTACCAAGCATTAGGTCCAGGACAAGGGCGAGGGAGAAATCATTTCAGGAGAGCTGCACGTAAGTGGATTTACAAACTAGTTAGCACAACTGCCTTGCAGAACGGGAACACAAATGGCTTGTAGTTCTGGAAAGGAAGCCACTTGGACCAGGAAGAATGGATAAAGAAGGGTGACTCACACAAGCACCACACCGCTGCAGGTTAGCTGAGCCATATGGGAGGAATGCGTGCACACGCACTGTGACACAGGTGACAGAGAGGGACACAGGACATCGAGGTCCTATGTGAGGGGCAGCAGCAGCCAGGGAGGTGTTCATTTTCACCCAGGCAAGAGGCTGCCCTGTGAGCACAGTGGCACGAGAACAGGCTGCTAACGAGCAGCAAGAAGGAGGAAGGCTTGTCCCCATCTCGGTTGTCACCATCAGGGAAGCCCTCCCTGCCTCCTGGCCAGGCATGTAGTCACCCTCCCCAGAGCACTCGTGGTAGTGTCCACACCATGACTGGCACATAGCCAATCACCTAGGGAGCTTTCCACACACACACACACACACACACACACACACAGACGCGTTTACACACATGCATATGCACACATGGCCATGTGTGCACCCACACCCCTACATCCGAAGCTCTGGGGCAGGGCCTGGGAATGTATGTTCCTTCTGATGATCAGCCAGGTTTGAGCTTCACTAGACTAACTGGGCGCGGTGGCTCACACCTGTAATCCCAGCACTTTGGGAGGCCCAGGTGGGCAGATCACGAAGTCAGGAGATCGAGACCATCCTGGCTAACACGGTGAAACTCTGTGTCTACCAAAAATACAAAAAATTAGCCAGGCGCGGTGGCGGGCACCTGTAGTCCCAGCTACTCGGGAGGCTGAGGCAGGAGAATGGCGTGAACCCGGGAGGCGGAGCTTGCAGTGAGCTGAGATCCAGCCATTGCACTCCAGCCTGGGCGACAGAGAGAGACTCTGCCTCAAAAACAAAAGAAAGCAAAACAAAACAAAACTCTAAGGGCACTTCCAGCATTAGAGGACAATGATTTTATGGAACATGCACATATTTTTTAAAGAGCCATTTTTTCCTCTATATTTTCTCTTGGAGGAGGGATATGCTTTTCTTTCTTTGGAGACATGAATTGACTCTGCCACTTGAGGGATGTCAGCAGGTCGCCTCTCACTGCCCCATTGGGCACACACTCCCGGGGCTGCTGAAAGGCTCAGCTATGAGGCAGGAGAGCCAGGAGCCCAGGCATGCAGGCTCACAGCCCGCAGCCCAGAATGAGGATGGGCTGTGACCCAAAACCAGCACACTCCAAGGGTAAGGCTGAGCCAAACTTCTCCCCAGGGCTCCCCTGGATCCAGGTGGTAACACTGGCCTTTGGTGCATGGGGACTAGCAGTGGCCTCTCAGCATCCTGTTGGTCTCACCAGTGCCACCTCTCTCAGGTTTGGCTGGTTATATTCCTATCGTCCTGACATCCTAACAGCTACCATGTAGCGGGTGCTCTGACTGACCCCCTCCCTGTGCACCAGGCACTATGCCAAGTGCTCTGTCACACTGACAAACTGCCACCCCAAGTCCTTATAAGCGCCTTGTGAAGTGCTCTTATTAGCTCCATGGTACAGACTGGAGAACAGCGTTAGTCACCTGCCCAGGAGTGCAGGGCCAGGAGCCAGGGTGTCGGCAGGGCCACCTGACCTTGAGGCTGTATTCTTAACCTAGGGCGTGTTCATTCCTTAAGCCTTCTGGAACGGAGCCTCCTCCCACCCACCTTGCCTCCGGAGAGGAGAGAGCAGAGTCCCAGCCCCTGGCCTCTGTGCAGGGCGTCTCCTGGCTTACCTTGGCCAGCCTCGCTCGCTTGATGAGGTCGTTGAGTTTGCGCACCGCTGCCTTCTGGGGGAGGCTCTGGATGTCTCTGAAGAGGTCCTGGGCCTCGGCCTCGAAGAGCCGGCGGTTGTCTGTGTTCTGCAGGGGCTGCGCCCAGAAGGAGCCAATGTAGACGCGCAGCACCTCTGGCGTGTTGATGACCTTGCCCAGGGACCACATGAGGGCCCCGTAGACCCGCATCAGCTGCTGCGTGTCCACTTGGTCGGCCTTGTTCAGCACTACACGGATCTTGTCGTCCTGGCCCCGGAAGGCCTTGATGGCCTCTGAGAATTCATCTGAGATGTCCAGCTTGTGAGCGTCAAAGAGCAGGATGATCCTGTCCACCCTCTCGGCAAACCACTGCAGGACCTGGCAGAAGTCATAGCCTGGGTGGAGAGAAGGACACATCAGTGTGGCCACTGCTGCAGGAGACATGTTTCCCGGAGGGCTCAGGAACAGTCTCGCTCTCCAGCAGCTGCCAGGGAGACAGCCCTGTCTCCAGCCTGGAGGCAGTGGAAGCCTGGTGACTTGAAAATCATGGTCTGGATGAATCTGGGCGGGAAGGACCTGGGGAGCCCTTCCATAGGAGGACGGGGGAAATAGAATGGGGCTCATGGTCGCTTTGGGAATTGCTGACTTCCATATCTGCAATTTCATTTGGTCCTCATGAGTGTTTTATTTCACCTAATACAGACCTTTTGCTTGATGGCAAAATTGATCAGTGGTTTTGTAAAAACACAGGCCATGGGTCAAAAGATCCTACTTCTGAAAAGTCTCACTTTTCTGAAAGCCCAGACAGAGAAGAAAGAGAACCAGAGGCCACCTGGCGTCCCATGGGGTATCCTGTAAGCACAACAGAAGAGGCTTCACCTTCAATTAACCCAAGTTTGTAGAGTGCTGAGGAGGTCAAAGGTTGGCCCAGCAGGTGTTGTGATCGAATATTTATCTTTGGACTATTTATAGCTCAGGTATATTATAAATATTTTAAAAATATTACATCTCACAGTCATTGTGTAAAATGGTCTCTTGCCAATTTCTTTTTTTAAAATGGCCAGGCCCACAGCAAATTCTGTTCAGCCTATTCTGGCCAGCTCCACAAATCATGCAGCTGCGTAAACACTCTTCAGCCCAAGGTCAAGGCTCTCCGGCCTTTCCCCAGGGAGGCAGATTCCCACGAAAAGCAAACAAGCGGAGGCCAAGCCCACGAAGTTGACTTTTCATCTCAGTCTCATCAGTTGCAGAAGCAGAGTCTCAATCCAGCCCAGCTAGTGCTGAGATGTCCCCTTGCCTGACCCCCACGCTAGGGGTTGTCTCCCCTCTTCTTTTAGATTTTGAAAACTTTCAAACATACGTAAACATCTGTAAGTCATATAATGAACGCTGATGTACCTGTCACATAATTTTAACAAATGTTGACACTTCGCTTTGTTTGCTATTTCAGATACGTTTTAAAACCAAGTCTAGTTTCTTCAGATAACAAAATACAGTGGTGAGACGGATCGAGATCTTCACTTGTCATCACAGGCAAATCTCCAGAAAAGAACGAGAGTAAAAACTTAGTTTCAAAAGGATATGTACAGCATGGTAACATTCACGCAAAATGCTAAAATACAAAATACTCAGCCATCCATGGATACAGACTATAGCACAAATACAAAAACGTCAACGGCGATTGTCAGACCCTGGTTGGCCGTGGGGGTGGAGAAGGTGTGGATCTAAGGCAGAGGAGGAAGTATCTGAGGGGAACAATCTATTAGGTGAAAATAAAGAGGGTCTGCGGACTGAGGTTTCCATGCATTTGAAGAACAGGTGTTAGAGGAATAGCTGAACAAGCCACCTGGATTCAGGTCCATTTTTCATAAAGAAAACAAGACACTCGGTAATGCTGAAGCCCCCCGTGCACCCCTCCCCGAGTGCTTCCCCCCACTAGGAGGCCGCCGTTCGGAGTGTGGTGTTTATGCCGCCACACGCGTGGATACTTCCAGTTCGTGCTTTTCATCTCTCTGTTCTGTCTCACTGCGCACTCCCTGACTCCTCGGGGATAAGGAAGACAAGGGCCGTTCTCGGAAAGTGGGCCAGAGTTTATTTTCATTGCTGTCAACAGCCAGTTTAGGTCAGAGGAAAATCAAAAACCTACTGACAGGGTCACGCATAGTATGCAAAGATTTAGAGTCAAGGTTTCACTCTGAGTTCTGTCCCGAAAGGCCAGAACAAACTGCCCCCTAGGGTAACACAAAGTGCTACCGTCATTTGAGACAAACGTGTGCACAGACAGCCCTAGCCCACAGGACTGTAGGTCCTCAGAGGATGAATGAACTGGCTGTTCGCTGGGTGCCGGGAAGATGCTTTGCAGCCACCCTGCTGGGGTGGAAGATGGACCTGCATGGGGCCTTGCTTTTCCAGGAGAGATGATTGATTCACCATGCTGACCTGACCACTCACCCACGTGGTCTTCCTAGCGACCAGCTGGGGTGTCTGAAGGTTCAGAAACAAATCAAAGAAAATGCTGTGTCCAGGGTGCACATGGAGTGAGCGTGAGTTGCTTTTGCTGAATACCCTTCCTGTTGGGTCGGGGGGTATCCATTACGGGCTGTGGGGCTGAAGGTGTGGCAGAGAGTCCCTCGCCCCACTCCTTAGCAAGCTGGGGCATAGGCATGTGATCTAGAGTTAGACATTCACCTCCTTCCGCCAGAGAGGAGGGCTGAACCTTAGGGAAATGACACAAAGACACAGTGAAAATAAGAATTTATTCACGGTGGCGGCGGCTTCCTAACTCTTCTCTAAGCCTAGTTCTCCAACTTTCCCATTGATCCTGTGAAAAATTCTCCAAAACATTTTCTTTCCTGCTTAAATGAGTTAGAATCAGCTTCTTTGGTTTGCTATTGAAAGCGATGATAGGGCTGGGCGCGGTGGCTAATGCCTGTAATCCCAGTACTCTGGGAGGGAGAGGCGGGAGGACTGTTTGAGGCTAGGAGTTTGAAACCACCTGGTGATATGGTGAGACCCTGTCTCTACAAAAAATAAAAACAAATTAACTGGGCGTGGTGGCGTATGCATGTGGGCTCAGCTACTTGGGAGGCTGAGGCAGGAAGACCACTTGAGGCCAGGAGTTTGAGGCAGTGAGCCATGGACACACCACTGTACTCCAGCCTGGGTGAGAGAGTGGGACCCTGTCTCACACACACACACACACACACACACACAAAGAGAGAACCACAGTTGGTAAACAATCCTCCCCTCACCCCCATTTAAGATTTCGGAATACCTCTTACTGTCAGTTCCGAAAGAAACCTGCCGCCCAAACTGAAACACAGCTGTCACTAGCTGTGCTCGCGCCAACTCAGCCGTGCAGATGCAGTCTCTCTTCCTCTCGGGGCCGCCTGGGTTGAATGGTTAGCTTTGATTGCAACACTTGTGTTTACACTTTAACTTAAATTGGAGTTCCCAACAGTTAAGTATTTTTAAAAAAGATTCCATTTCAATGCTCTAGTGAAATCAAAAGTTATTAGGAACAGAGTTGCCAGATTTAGGTTTACTGTAAGTGATGCCAATACTCATGTCTGCAGGACAGGTGTATATCCATATTTTCTTGTGTTAAAGCAACAATGAGAGCTTAATACAGTTCGAGAAGTACAGGTAGGCAGAGCTGTGTTTGTTCTGTCCCCGAGCAGGTGTAGGAGGACTGCCTGTCACACATCAGGCAACACAGTCAAAGGAGTAGAAATCGCCGTGTCCAAAAGAGAGCAAGGAATGATCAACGCTGGGAGAGGCTGGTCTGCTTACCACCTCCCCTACAAAGTCAGGATTATTTTGCCACTGTAAGCACGTTAAGCGTACTGCACAGTGGGATTAAATAAGTCACACTGTTGTACAACCATCACCACCACCCAGCTCCAGAACTCTTTCACCTCCCCCAACGGAAACTCTGAACCCATCAAGCACGAATTCTCCCTTCCTCTCTCCAGCCCTGGCGACCACCATTCTACTTTTTGTCTCTATGAATCTGACTACTCTAGGTACTTCATGGACGTGTCCTTTTGCGCCTGGCTTCTTCCACTCAGCATAAGGTCCTCAAGATCCATCTGTGGTGTAGCATGTGTCAGAGTCTCCCTCCTCCTAAGGCTGAATAGGTCTGCTTGATTCTTGCATCATGGAGGACTCAGGCACCAAAGACCTAGCTACCCAAAAATCCCAGCGGATCTAACTCCCAACATATCATTTAGTCTGCCTGCTAAAGGAAAACAGTCATTCAGAAGGACCTAGTGACCACTGATCGTCAAAGCCTGTTCCTGTATTGGAATGAAATAAGGGGCTTTGCTAAAATTTAGACTCCCAGGCCCCTCCCCAGAACCACTGAATCAGAACCCCGGGGACTGAGCCTGGCGGTCTGCACTGAGAAGCTCCCCAGATGACTGCAATGCGTGGTGCAGTTTGAGGATCACTGTCTAGACTCAATACCAGGGTGGGGGAATTGTACAGATAGGTTTATGTTCCTGTTGGTTGGCAAGCAACAAAACAAATCAAATACATTTAAAGCAGTATTATTTCCTTTTATTTCAAAAAGTTACCAATAGATGTTTAGGTGGTGCATCACAGGTCCAGGAAATGCAGAATTGAAACATGCTTATTTGAAGACGGATTTTAAAACTCACCCAAGCTCCCTGCTCTTGCCCATGCTGGGCCCTGGCCCTGGCAAACCCTTCCTCTATGGTTTATATCGGGCCTAGAGATCCAGCCCAAATCCTAGTCATTCTTCAAAATATCTGGGCCAACTTTGATTAAGTTAGACATTATGTAACTTTTTTTTTTTTTTTTTTTTGAGACGGAGTCTCGCTCTGTCGCCCAGGCTGGAGTGCAGTGGCCGGATCTCAGCTCACTGCAAGCTCCGCCTCCCGGGTTTACGCCATTCTCCTGCCTCAGCCTCCCGAGTAGCTGGGACTACAGGCGCCCGCCACCTCGCCCAGCTAGTTTTTTGTATTTTTGAGTAGAGATGGGGTTTCACCGGGTTAGCCAGGATGGTCTCAATCTCCTGACCTTGTGATCCGCCCGTCTCGGCCTCCCAAAGTGCTGGGATTACAGGCTTGAGCCACCGTGCCTGGCGACATTATGTAACTTTAAGCTCCAGTTTTTTTCACCTGTAAGATCGAGTTGTTAAGTAATTACATGAGAAATGCTTTCATGGCGTTGAGACTTTGTTAACTTTCAGCAAATGTGAGCTGTGGTTACTCTGGTTTCCTCAACTGCTCCCCATCCTGAGTTCCCTTGCCTGTGCTGCCTATGGCACCACTTCACACAGGGTATTAAAATCAGAGGGATGGGCTGGTCTCTCTCATTAGATTATATATTCTCTAACCGTAGGAACCATGTCTTCATCATGGTCACACAA